GCCCAATAAAAACTTCTGTCTACTGGATAACCGAACCCGTGTCTGTCGTTTTCTGACACTGTGATAGTTCCTTTCTTAATTTTTGGTTGCGTTTTCTTTGCTGGCATTTAACGTAATGTTAACCACCCAAGTGGTGAGAACAAGGTAGGTGGCCAAATAAATGGGCTAAATAAATAAATTGTTAATAAATAATAAGTAAATGCACATGACATCAGCTGCTACCAAGTCTGGGCTGATGCTTGCTACAGTGCTAACAGCACGACTTGGCCTGACTGCAGGCTTGACTTCGACCAACCCTGTCAAAAACTGTTTTCTCCTTCATTTTCCTGCTGGTTTCCTAACCTGTGCGCGCTGCAAAAGGTAAGGGGGCCTGTGTGCCCTCCCTTGGTCCTCCGTGTGAGGTGCTTTTCCATCAAGCCATGCGGTGGTGCCACTGGGCAGGCCAACTCCTCCTTTTCCAAGCACTGCCCGCGTCAGGGGTGGAGGAAGAGGGCGAACCCATTTACGAGCCTTGGCAGATATTAACTTTCCCCCTGTGAAGGTGGAGAACAGAGGCGCAGCTTGTTCCCAGCACCAAGGAGCCAGCCCGTCTCCTAAGAGGGAGGGACCAGGAGGAAGACCAGGGCTGGGGAAGGGGTCGGACTCCTTCCGTTGCTCACAGGGCTGGAGAGTGGAGGACCTGGCAACAGACACAGGGCTCCTGCCATGAGGCACACAGCATGCTTTTTTGCCCTTCTGCTTTGCTTCCACACAGGTAGGGTGACATTTTTCTTGGCCATGTAGACTCAAGAGATGCTTCTGGTGCAACGTCCAGAGAAATCCCATCCGTTTAACTTTTATTGTGCATGGAGACGTTCCCCTTCTCACTTGCAGCTGCGCTAGTCACTCTTGTATTTATTGGCAGGATTTTTGTGGGCTCATGCATTATTGATTACTAGCCATTGTTATAATTTGAAGAAGAGGGGGGAAATATATCCTAAAGTATATTCCAGTAGGATCGGAAGTTTTCTAGACTTACAGACTTCTTCCCTTTGCTTTCTGGACAACACCGAGATCCAGACCAAGAGAAGATTGGGTGTTTGTTAAATAGGCTACCAGGAACCCTTCTGCTGCCTCCCCTAGCGCTCCAGATCAATGTGAGCACTCTTGTGAAGCAATGTTCTCCCACCACCGGGGCTATTGCAAACAAGAACTGTGCTTGTCCCTGACAGCATGGCTGAAACATCATAAATCTGGGAGGAGGGAGCCTGTTCAAAGAGCAAGGAGCTCTGGCAAAGACTTTGATTCCCAGGCCTCTTTTCGGAGAGAAGGAAATGTTAATTGCAATCCATTCGTCTCCCTGGGGCCAATGTCCAGAATGAGCAGTAAAACTACTGAGATGGCACCTCTGGGGGAAAGAGGTGAATCGAGTCTCCCCTCCGGCAGCTAGCCAGTGGGCACTGGAATTTGCCTTTCATGAGAAGATGTGCCAACCAAGAGTAAAGGAGCCAGTGAGGATTTGGGTATTTTTATCTCCATCCTCAGGTCCCCAGGGTCAAGCAAAGCAAAGGGACTTACTGGATTCTTGTTTACTGAGAGGGTTAACACACTGAGCATTGTACTCCCCTTTGCCTCTGCTCAGATAGGCTCTGGCAGTCTTCCTGCGATTTTGTTAGCCAGAAAAGTTTTACTTTAATCCAAACCCAGGTACCTAAACCCAAAAACTTGTCATGTCTAAGTATATAGTGAGGTGAGCCTGGTCTGAACTAATCATTAGGAGGCTTATGATGGTGCTTCTGTTGCTTTGCTGAACTCAGTTATAGCCACCCAGAGTCAGTTTGGAGTTGGGCAGCACCCAAATCAAATCAAATCAAATCAAATCAAAATAAAATCAATAAATAGAAGCAACCAGTTAATGGGAGGGACTAATGCACAATCTGGAGGGAGGGCTATGATGCCTTTCAGTAGATATTTTCAGCATAGATCTATTTCCTGTAGTGGCTAATCGGTTATCTCTGGAAAAGTTTTTTTTTTTTAATTTGTCCAATTTATATGGCCACCCATCTCAGCAAGTGACTCTGGGTGGTGAATGAAGTTAAAATAAAAACAATTATAAACATTACAAAAGTTAAAATACACAGTGGCTGAGCAACACCAACCCAAATCACTAGCATAACCAAGAAGTGGGTTCCTGCACACCCTCAGGGCCCCAGGCCGGGGCACAGAACAGGTCTTCAGGGCCTTACAAAAGACCAGCAGGGTCGGGCCGTCCTGATCTCCAGAGGTAAAATGTCCCACCAGCTGGCAGAAAAGGCATGTCTTCTAGGTGCTGCCAACCAACATTCTTTGGCTGATGGGACCCAAAGCATGCCCATCCTGCCTGACTAGATCGGATGGGTAGAAACAACTGGGGAGAGACGGTCCCTCAAGTTTGCAAACATAATTTGTGAATGCCCTTGACTCTGGGCTGCCTGCTACTTCAGCCAGGAATTCTTAAGTGCTCTTTGTATGTGTGTGTCCATGCATGTGTTCTCTTCAGCTGCCGTGTTGAGCCTGCTGCGCTGGTGCACAGTCTCTGACCAGGAGCTGGCCAAGTGTAGTGACATGAGCAAAGCATTCTCCAGGGCAAACATTGTCCCTGAACTGGCCTGTGTGAATGGTGGCTCAACAATCAATTGCACCTCTATGATTAACGTAAGTGTGAATTTTTTGCTTCTGGATCTGGAATCTGTGAGGGGAAGGGAGAAGAGAATGAACTGTATGTTGGGTATATGTGGACTTTTGGGTTGTGACCTCTTGCCTCAAAACAAAGAAGCTTTCTAATAGTTGATTTCATAATTGGTGGACAGAGGGTAGGCTACAGCATAGAGAGTCCTCTTGTCTTGGTGGGCATTTTATTTATTTATTTATTTGAATTTATTAGCCACCCAACTCCAGTGGAGTCTGAGACCATAAATGCCAGACTAAGAGGGCCCTTAGTCTGTTCCATCTTCCAGGCTTTTGTTTTTTTTTAATTTATAATCAAGTTTCCATCAGCTCACTGGAGCTTCTAACTAGTAACTACCCTTAGGGCTTCAATCTTAGACTATGCTATGGTTATATATCAATTAAATAAGCTGTAGTCAGCTTCTCATCTGACTTTCAGCTAAAAATATATGAATAACATTACAGTTCAAATAATCTTAATGTTACCCAAGCTTCACTGACTGCCTTTTTGAGATTGCAAAGAAGTGTCCTGTAAGTTGATAAAGCATCTGCTGATTGTCAGCGTCATCCAAATAGTCCTCAAGAGAGAAGCAACTGCTCTCTTAATTTGGAATCCCACCAGATGAATGCCCTTCCATAGAAGCAATGGAAGAGGTAGACCTGGCTCTTTATAACACAGACATAATTTGTAAAGCACTGCCAGCCACCAGAGAATGAATACTACTTTATCTTCATACCCCCTTTCCTGGAAAACATCTTAATGTTCTATTATAAAATGCCTCTTTCTGGATTCACAGACCCTGTGTGCTTTGGGTTGTGAGGACAGGCATGGGGGGAGTCATGGCATGGTCTTCTGATGCTAAGGCATCAGGTTACTCTCCTCATCCCTGAGGATTTCTGATTGGGGGGAAGGAAAAGACTGCCTTTGCTAACCCCTTACAGTGTGGATTTGAGAAGGGCAGCAGAAGAAATGGCCAGCAAGGACACCTCTGCTTGGTTTGCTCACTGCAGGGATCCATGGAAGTAACAACAAAAGATGTGCATGCCCATGGCTCTGAGGAGTGAGTGATCCTTAACAGAGTGAGCCTGGGTTTTCTAGGTTGTGGGATCCAAGGCCAGTGTACACTTTTCCCTGCAAAGACCTTGCTTTCCGAGTCACATGCATAACTCTATATCTGCATTTCTCTTTCAGCAGCATTCAATGTATCAAACAAAGGTTAAGAATAAAATGGAGATGAAACACTAGAACAATAGAAAAAAGCAGATTACTTGCATCTGTTGAGAATCAAAATAAGGCGGCCATAACTGGCATATTGTGTTCCTTATGCCAGTTTCCAGTATGGTGCGAAGAAACTTTGCTGGAAGTGCACGATGAAGGACAAAGAATTAGTGTCTTGGGCCAAGGTATTACACAGAGCAGCCTCTGTGAGTAGAGTGGAGAAATCCATCGCTTGCTGAAGGAGCCAGCTCCTTAATGCTGCAGACCTTTCCCAGGCTCTCCTTTGTATCTCAAGTGAGCATCTGGGGGAGACCTTAGAAGCCTTCTAGCCATTTCACCGAGCAAATCAAAGCTTTCAGGAAATCAGCTGGGCACACCACCATTGAGTGCTCCTCTCTGTCCATGTCCTGAGAACTTTTCTTGTGGCAGGTTGCCAGGGCAGCCTCCGTTCTTATTGGAAAGTAGCCGTGCCTTTCTCTTTTTGCAAACAGAGGAATTTGGCCGATGCAATGACTGTGGATGGTGGCGTCATTTACCAGGCTGGGAAGGAATACGGTTTGAAACCAGTGGTGGCGGAAGCCTATGGACAAGGTAAATGGGTGAGTGGCAGCAGCGGCCCGTTTGCAAGCAAGACTTAAGAGCCGCACCATCTCACAAAGACTCTACTTCGGACTAAAGAAGGTGCCACGAGACCACTGACAACTTATAGGGCCACAGTCTTCTTTGTGTTCTGCCTTCCACTGATTTTTATAGAATTGCACTTGAGGTACTGAAGGTGAGAGAAAGCCACTTTTCCAGGTTGATCCAGCAGGGGAAGCAAAAGTGTTGCTAACTCACTGAATATTGTTGAGGGAAATAGGCTCAGCAGGAATGTGGTGTGCAAAGCACTGATAATCTATGTCTATTTTAATTGGTCTACCAAGTACTTGACAAATGCTTTATTGGCCTCTTGTTCTATTTTATGGCATTTGGTGGAGTTGTTTGGATTTTAGAGCAATTGGGTTCATTTGTGGTATCAGCTGCTCCTCTACAAATTCCTTCCTTCCTCTTCAAAAAAGACCTTTCATTCTGCTGTATCTGATAGAAGTGTTAGAATTTCTCTGACTAAGGAGGTTCAAGTGGTTTGCCTACTGCTGTGGATGGAATGTTACCACTGCATTTGGGGGTTTGCTTTCACCCTCCCTCCTTCCTGTGAACACAGCAGAGAGAAACTGGACTAAATGGCCTTACCTTTCCCTGTCTAGACGTTGGTACCTCCTATTATGCCGTGGCTGTTGTGAAAGCAAATTCCAACCTGACCATCAACCGGCTGAGAGGGGCTAAGACATGTCATACAGGGATCAATAGAACAGCTGGCTGGAACATTCCTGTTGGCCTTCTCCTTGATAGCGGTCGAATGCCGATGATGGGCTGCAATGTTACCAAAGGTGAGGCCTGCCTGGGTCATGTCCTGTCAGCCCTTCAAGGTAGATCTGACTAGGAATGCAATGTTGTGTAGGTCAGTACTACTTTTATTGTAATGCTACAGTAACAGAATTTTGCAAATCTGAATTTGCTTCCCCCATCCCTCCCCCAGATTAAGTCCTCTTTCATCTGGCTATTGTCTTGGTAGCAGCTCTTCCTCCTGTCCCTCAAGGCCATTGCCCTCTACATGTCCCGACCTCATGTGCCAACAGAAGGCTGCCTATTGCGCTCAAACTCCCAACTTCTTGGGGGCCTGAGCAATGGTCAAGTCCCAAAGGGCCGTCAGTCATTTTGGAGGTCTCTGTACAGAGATTTAGAGCATATTCTCCACAGCTGTAACTTTGCTCTGCAGCGGGTCAAATGAGCTGGGCCATTGTGGTTGCCTGGAATGCTCGGCTATAAGGAAGGGGTCCCCTCATTGGAGCAAGGGGGTTGGCCTTTGGCTTGGCCCACAATATGGTTCTATCCACTGTTGTAGTTTTTCCTGGGGCGGGCAGGCAGGCAGGATGGAGGAAGATGCCGCGACTTGAGATGCGGCTCTTCTTCTTCCCTTTCAGCTGTCAGTGAATATTTCAAGGCCAGCTGCGTCCCTGGAGCAAGTGAGAGCGGTCACCCTGCGTCCCTCTGCGAACTCTGTAAAGGAGACGGAACTGGGCAGAGCAAGTGTGAGCTGGATCCCAGGGAGGAATATTATGACTACATGGGTGCCTTCAGGTATCTGTGCGGGAGCTACCTGGAGAGCGAGGTGCTCTTCTCCTTGAAAAGCCACAGTGGTGTCTGCAGCGTGGGTGGGTGAATTCCCTACTGCTGCAGAGTCAGGATGCCTCCTGGGAGCCCTCTGGATGGGAACTGCAGAGTGCCCAATGCCAATGACTGCTGGTGGCTTCCCACAGGTGCCTGGTGGACGGGCCAGGAGAGGTTGCCTTTGTCAAGCACACCACAGTGCCAGAAGCCACAGACGGTAAGCCATTGATCAGGATACAAAAGACTGGAGGGCCCAGGACGGAACCTAGTGGCCCTTCGCTTGATGCCTGATGAAGAGCCATTATAGAAACTCTGAGTATGATTTTTGATCTAGTTATAGATCCATTTAATTGTCATCCGTCCAGCTCACTATAATGAACTTGCTAATCAGAAAGCCACAGGATACTTCGTTAGATGCTTAATTGAACTCAAGACAGTCTATGACTAAAGCATTTCCACAATCTATTAAGGAAGTTACCTGATTAAGAGAAAGAAAAAGATGATAGTTATTCTTGACTTTAGTTTACATGAGTTGTTGACAAATCCATGCTGACCTGGTTTTTTCAAATTGTTTTCGAAGTGTTTACAAACTAATTTCTTTATAATTTGGTTGTAATTTTGTTTTTTAATTGGGTTTTTGAGTTGGTTTTAAAGGGGGTTATTGTGTTTTTACTGATTTTTGGATTTTGCTTATTAGTTGTTATTTGGTTGTTTTTAATTGTGTGAGCCAGTGACAAATGTAAGATGGGCAGCTATACAAATTGAATGAATGGATGGATGGATGAATGAACTTGTCTAGCATTTCCCCAGGTGTTGCTGTCAGTAATTCCCAGGATCTCCCTTTTCCTCCAGGCACTTGGCACTTCACCTGTTCTCCAAGATTTTTCAAAGATAAAATAAAAAATTCAGCTACATCATCATATCTTAGTTTGGAGTTCCTCTGGTCCTGGGGATTTAAGTTCACTAAAAATGAGGAGGTATTCCCTGATCATGAGTCATGCTGATGCCTGCCCTTTCATCCTGCTCTTCTTCATCCCCTCACTTTTTGTCAGAAAAGACCAAATTGAGTAGCTCTGTTTTTTCTTTGTTAACTGTTAGCATTTTGCCTTCTTTAACGAACTCCTAGCATACTGGTTCTTCTCTCTTCTTTTTCTTTTGAACGTATTTACAGGACACCCCCTCCTTCCTAGTTGTTGTTAGTGTCTCTCACCTACCCCAGCTCATTCTGAGCATCTGTGTCCCCGACATCGTTACTGATGGTGTCCGCCCTGCCCATCCTCTTCCTCGGTTGCCTGTCCTTCTTTCTGCTTCTCACGCAGCCTTTTTGGTTCTCCCACCTCCACTAGGCTTCTTGTACAGCTTCTTCTCTTTCATTTTTCCTTGTTCAAATCGTTTCCATCTATGCTTTTAGTATCTCCTTCTGTCTCGCCCATTAGCTCCTCTTGCTTAGAAATTTTATGTATCAGCATCCTGAGTTTATCAAATCCCTTTTCTAAAGTCCAAAGTTTGCTTTGGCTTAGCTTTAATTTTAGTTTCCCTTAAATAAAAGTCCAGCATTCCGCAATCAACAAAGTGTTCCCTATCAAGGAACTAGCAAGGCTCACCAACC